AGGAAGCAAGGAGCACCACGTTTGCACTCTAATCCAAGTTACCACTGGAGACCCATGCTATGGGCAAGGGACACTGTTAACTCCTCCTCCTCCTTTCCCATAACCAGGGGAAGGTGAAATAGGAAACTATTAATAATAAACCAGGTATTATTAGTATTATTATTATTGGCATAGAACAAGCAAACAGGAAAATCAGGGAACTAAACAAGGGTTACTACAGATGGATCATGAGAAACATGTCTGTAGGGTAACAGTTCATTTTCCATCCATGTTTAGTACAACTCTGACATTGCCACTGCTCTTTGAAGTCATACTTTTCTAGTCAAAACTGTAGTGATGTTTCTTTCCAAAGCATTCTTATTTGGAAAATTTTCTATTAGCAGCAAGGCTTTCATTTGGATTTAGGGATGAAGCTTTTCAAGCAACATCACTCTTTCTGTTTCCAAGCATTTTTTCAGATCTTCTACACTGTCTACCTCTTCCTTTACAGATTATGCTCATACTACAAAGTGTGATAAAATATTTTTTTAGAATTTTTTCAGAAAGATGGTCAGCATATCCTTCAAAGAATAAACAAACAAGGAGCGCAATGCACTGTCCAATTTTCTACCTTGTAATGGCAAATGTCCTGCATTTCTAAACTTTAAATTCTGTCTCCTGTTCAAGAGACTGAAGTATATAATTCTGAGAGCTTTGGAAATAGGCAAAACTCAACTTCTGATGAATCTGTGATTTGGAGACTACCAAAAAGTTTGCAAAAGATTTTTTTTCTGTCATAGGGTCCATCAGCTTAGAGGTGACGCTGATATCTTGCAAAACTAAGCATGTCCTCTTAGAACAGAGACCCATCAATATTTTTGTACAAGTTAATTAACTTCTAGACTTTGTTGCTTTGTGAAATTTCTCTGCAACAAACTCGTGAACAGAATAGGTACATTCACATGCAAAGACCCATACATGCTTAATCCAACTGTTAAAGCTTTGCATCTCCAAGAACTAATTCTTAGATGTATGCAGACTTGCAGCTTCCCCCTCTGCAGATGAAAATGCAGAAACATAACAAATGTTTGCTAAATTGTCTCAAACTATTTTCAGAGGAATTTAATTATTTTTCCATTTATCTGAAAATTTTCAAATCATATTTTAAAAGCTAGATAAACTTTATTTATAACCATAGTTACTTCCATTAAATAAAATTTAGCCATTTAAATCCCATCCAGTTGATTAACCTTTTCAGATCAGATAAACTTGCAGTGAACCTGGGATTCTTCAGGGTCTGTTCCAGTGGGCTGTTTTCAATTTAAACAGCTGTGTTGTCACAATTTCCTTTTACATGTGACTTGAGGGTGCCCATTTGCTTCGCAATTAAGAGGATAGCACCTACAAATGTTCAGCTAACCAGATTGTTAATTGCTATGTTTGCTTTGCACTCTCTCCTATAAATAGAAAATGTTTCTCCTGAAAGGGAATGGTTCAAAGGTTCAAACATTATCTTCCTAACTTTTCTCACGTTACTCAGATTTTTCTTTTTTCTCTACTCTCTGTCCAGGGATATTACTGATCAAGGTTTGGTACTCCATGCTATCTCTTCTAGTCTCTGCTTCAATGAAAGCTTTTGACTTTGTAGAAATCAGTGCTGAATGTTTTCTTCAGAGGCAGCCAGCAAAAACTGAGCTTGTTTTAGAGCAAAGTCATCAGTAAGAAATAAAACTTTCACATGGAATAAACTGAAGTAGAGTGAAAAATGTTATGAAATACACCTTACTAGGATTATTTGCAATACTTTAGGTTAGTATTTGGTGTTATTAGTTCTTATGTACATGTCTGTCTTTCTCCACTGGTAAGTTACTTTTGCTTCCACCTCTCCTAATCTTTCTATCCAGTTCATTTGAATACTCAAATTCCCTGAAGATTGTCTTTAGATAAAATTAGAAGCATAACTGCTTAATAAATGGGATCATTCCTCTGCAAACATACAATACAATGTCAGCACTTCTATCATGTGATTTCTGAGTGGAATTTAATGTATGAGCTGTGAATAGCTTATGACCTGTCCCATAATGTGGGATTCATCTAAATGTAGATGCAGCTGAGCCAGTCCCTCATTACAGTCTGAATAGATGAATGAGAACTTTCAGGGTTCACTTCACTCCATGCCAAAGTATACATATAGCTTGCATTGCAAGCTACCTTTGTGCATTTTTATCCATGCATAACTTGGAGAAATTGCTGATTTTTCTCCATTATATTTTGTGAAGAAGCTTAGGCTTATTACCTCAGATGCCTATGTCCATCACAACCACGTTAATTAGGATTGCGAGAGACTACTTATTTTCTCTGAAATATGTCTGAACTTTTATTCAAGTTTCCCCTTGGTCATGTTGTTTTCAAGTGAAGGGTATTGAAAAATGGCCAATGAGTGGCCAAAATTCTGGACTTCCCTCTAGCCTTTTGAGAAGTAGTCCAGACATGCTGTCAAACTCATTTGATCCTGTGGAATTTGTTCCTGTGAGGGTCAAGAGGTCTTTAGAAATCCATTTCCTATGACTCAATTTATGACCCTGATGTCTCAGTCAAGCGAAAAGCTAATTTATTGATAACACAAGAGAGAACATCCAGTTCAGGTGTTGTTATGGACCACTTGCTCGACCCGGGTTTAGCCACAGAGCATAAGTGATTCTCCACTGACACTGCATAGGACTGTCAGTGAAGTCTATGAAGATAAAGCATCATCAACAGCTGCAGTCAATCATGAAGAGCCATATTTACAAAGATGATTTTTTGATTAAACACTTTTTTTCTGCCTCACATTCACATACTGAAGCCCCTGCCAGAAGTTGTGTTTAAAGTCTAACATGATGTGTGGGTTAACTTCTTTTTGGGCTGATAACAGTCAGCAGCTGATGTGTCCCCAAAAGTTTTGTTGGCTTGGAGAGAATTTCTGGAACAGTACAAAACTACTCAGCTAGTCTATACATTTGGAGGTTGCTGCTAACCATCCCTGGCATATGAGCTAAACATAGCAGCGTTCAATAATGTGCTGCTCACCAAGAAAATGGGAACACAGAGGATGACGCTGCATGTCAGCGCACATGATGAGAAGGCAAAGGTCACTTAGCAAGGCATAAACTATGAGCAGCAAGGCAGGTGACAGCAGCTCTGATGACAGCATCCTCACACTCAGGACTGACATATCTGTCAAAGGTGGACTTGGCAGATGGCCACACATCACGGGAAGCAGCATTTTGCATGGGAACAGATTTCAGAGTGCTGTTAAAAAGGGCTTCAAGTCTCACTCCTGAAAACTAGGCTCACTTTACCAGTGCTCCTACCAAATTATATGCTACTAAGATAATGTTCAGGAATAACATGGTTTTGATACTAGTCTATTTTTACATTCTTACTTCCAAATTAATATGACTTACCCACCCCTCCCTCAAAATAATTATAGTAGCAAAGCAGTTTGTGTATGAAGAAAGAAACTGGAAATTTATAGAGTAGCACAGGATTAACAATTATTAACATTCATCACTAAAATTCCACTTCAGTTATATAATTAAAGAATTAGCAAAACAATCTGAAGACTCTGAACCATGGAAAATCCTGAGGAAGAAAAACACAAGGCATTCTAATTGATATATTTTTAAAATTCAGCTGGCCTATTGCATTAATGCAAACAGTGATCACAAGGCACAACTGGTTAAAAGATCTCAACTCTAATGCACACTAAACAAGTCTCAAGTTGTATCCATTTCATTATGGGTTATCAGTACCTTGGTTAAACCCATCACATTTTAAGACCTTATAGACTTTTTAAATTTAAAGTTTACTTGTAATAGTAGTTCATTGACATATTGTTTCTGTGCTTTTTAAGACTTGTAGCTTGTGGTTTCTCTGTTAATGCTGTGAATTTCTTGAATTCAAGACTGTATAAACAGTTTTGACAATTAACTTACTTTAGTTACTTTAAAGCAAAATGAACATCTATGAAAGATAAAAAATAAAAATTTAAATACAGAAATTCACTACTGATTGCTATAATTTTTTTTCAAGAATGCACATGTTCCTTTACTACTCCTAATAATTTTAATTAAGATTTCTGCATGTCAATTAGAATTGGTTCAGAATGGAAGATTCCACCCCCTCTCTGTCTCTCAAAGCAGGTAAGAACACATTTTCTTGAGAGGGTTTTTAGTGTATCTAGAGTATATGTAAATAAGGAAAAGAGCATCAAAAAGGAATTGAAAAGGGGCATAATTATATAAAGTCAAAACTAACATAAAACCAATGTAGACCCTTTTTTAAAGCATTAATTATCTCAATCTGAAACAGGAAAATTGGAACATTGATGACATATGTCAGTAAAATAATTAAAATACTAAAGAAGGAATGGGATTTCTATAATTATACATAGCATGACTAAGTAAAAGAAAAAAGGGAGAAATCTACCCTAGTTTAAATCTAAGACATGAGAAATAACACATCTTAACCTGAAAAAAATACCCTGGATTGTTTCCCACTGATTAACTTATACAGCAGTTAACATTGTTCTCATTCTTACTTTATTTGCCCTGACAGAGTTTTTCTTCTTTAGGCTCTGTGAATTTTTCATATTTCTCAGGAAGTGTGTTGGAGATGGGATGTAGAATCCCAATGCTCTGAAACTTTCCCTCTCTGAGAGTTGCAGTGAACTGTAAGTTAGTGAAGCTCTGCACGTCCTAAATTACTGTGGAAAATTCACAAGCCCTGGGACTGAATACGGCCTGAAACTTTATTGCATGTCACTCGGGATCATATAACTTTTTTCCTTCTACATTTCTTCGACTAACACCCAGGTAGGCTTCAATTTATGGCCCATCAGCGCATCTGAAAGAGCTATTTGGCCCTCAGCAAGGGAGAGGATATTCCAGGTGTAATGGAGTACATAAAATCCTGCTTTGTGCCCACTTGAGTCTTCCACGGAAGCTGTGGCTCAGTGTAACTGTTGGGAGAGTACTTACTGCATTGAAGTTGGGGAAGAGATTCACTGCTGCAGCAGTGTCCAGAGGAAACGGGAGGAACGGCTTAATATCCAGCGATGGCTGCAGGGGTGGTGCAGGAGGACGCACAAGGGCTGGAAGAGCAGGGCTCTGGCATGTACCACCTGCAGGCACAGAGAGACAGAAAGCATTCAGCAGGTGATGTGATTAGTGAGGGGAGATAAAAGCCAGCACGCGCACACACACGCACAAAGCAACAGTAAAAAGACAATATTTCATCAAGCAAATATATTTTGACTCGTCCAAAAATTACTGCATTAGCAAAAAAAAGCCCAGCTGACTCAGTGATTGAGTTGGTTGTAATTCTTTGCCAGAAATTGCTTCATGTTTCAGTCTACTGTGATTAGAATTACCTTACAAACCATTTATTTCCATGGAAAATCTGGAACAACAGTTCAGCATATGTCTAACTTCCCTTGAGACCTTCAGCTAGTTTCATTCTCTTATCATTTCAGCGTTTCATCCCTACCCTGTTGCTCTACCCTACAAAGACAGATTACTCAAAAAGATAAAGAATAACTTGCTGTTCAGCTCAGCAAAAGTCATGTAATTTGCAGACTTCTGTTTCTTTAATTAAATGCTTACTCGTGGAGACAACGGTGTCTGCTTCAACCTAAACCTCATAAACACAACAAACCTTGCTGCCCCAACAGTTGATCAATACAAATCTAAAAATAACAGTTTCAGGAGCCACTGAAATTCTGTTTACGGGAAGGTACTGATGAACACTTTCTGCTCTTTGCAAGGGGTGGAGCTGATTCAGACTCGGTGCAGCAGAAAGCTCCTCCCACCTAACCACCAGCTCTGTGGGAACATAATGCAAACGAAGAAATCCCCTTGCATACTAACAAGGCACTACCTGTTTGCAGTGGACCCTATTTTGCTTATTTGTTTGCCCCTGGCCACAGCCAGCAATAAGCTGGAAGGATCCAAGTTCATTCTCTGCTTTCAGTGTCTCCTATATTGGTTGCACTCCAAAACATCAATTCCCTGTTAATTAAAGACTATTTGGATCCTAGGAAACTGTTAAAATATGCCAGTGTTCTTCTAATCCTAGAGGCAGGCAACAGACTGTAAAAAACCTGTTGGTAAGAGTCCAAGAAACATTGAAAAAAATGAAAGGGGAGTTTTACCCTACTCACTCAACAGGGCCACAGGCATACAGATCAACAGAGGGAGAGATCAAAAATCTGTTTCTTTTTTTCCTCTCATACACATAGACATTTTATTAGATGAATTGCATACATCCTTTAAGAGTGCAAATATAAAGTAGTCAGAAAGATATATGACATCTCTCCATATTTGGCCAGCAAATCTGCTAACAAGGTTTGTCATGTTACACATCTAATTGAGGGCTAAAACCGTAGGACTTAATTAACCAGTTAATCATCCAGGTTGTGTTTCTAGATATAAAATCAGCTGGAGCCAAATTTTGAAGACTGTATTTTTTGCCAACTTTCAACTTCTCTGTGAAGCATTTCATAAGAATCACTATTAAATTAAAATTAGTGGATTACAGGTCACTGTAATCTCACAATAGCTTTTAATCCCAGGAATAACTGCTTAAAGAATAAGAATAACTTATTAAAGAATAATTTTTGGGATAGTTTCTACATTGTACCTCAATGTAAATGTATAAGAAATCAAAAGTTTTTGAATGCTGCAGCTGAGGATATAGGCAACAGAAAAGTAGAGCACAAGCAGCATAGAATTATCAAGTATTTGATTGCCATTGCTTTGGCAATTGTTACATTCCCATGACATGGTTACAAAAACACTGTAAAAATAAATCTAACAGGTCAGAATGATGATAGGGTAGTGTTTGAACATGCCAATCATACTACCTTGGAATAGGAAAGACCCATAAAGGCACTTTTTAAAATGCTAGAAATACTTAGCTTTAATTTTATAAAGCTTTCACACACCACGAAAGGAAAAAGTCACTCTTACTAAAGAAAAAAATAGAGATTGCACCTGAGATTGTGCAGAATGACACAGAAACTTCAAGGTGAACATTTGCCTGGTAATAGCAAAGAATTTGAGGCTAATCAAATATTCTATAACTCACAAATGCAAACTGGATTGAGAAATGTCACCTGTGCTTGAGGACACAGCTCATGGGCTGTATTATCCCAGTGTTACAGAGAAGAGCTTCACAGGTTTGGATTACCTAGAGCAACAGCATTGCTATCCCAAACTCATCTGAGGTACCAAGCCACGGAGGATGAAATATTTCTATTCTGTGATCCTTTCCTGTGGCATGACTCGGCACTTGCGCACCTGCTGCTGCCAGCCAGTGCGATGCAAAGCCATCTGGGGACGGGAACAAGCTTTAAATGGAAAAATCCAGCCAGCTCTGCAGGACCTTGGCTGGGGCTCAGAGCCTCTGGAACAGAGTTTAAAATCTACCACAGTCCTGGCTACAGTGGCACAGAAAATTAGTATGGTCAGGAGCACAGCTGCTCTCTGTTTTTTCAATAGTGTCAGACATGTCCCTAAATGATGGAGCATGTGAGAGGCATCATGAAATCTGAGCCTTTGCTTAAGAACTTCTCTAATGTTTATGGCTGCAAAAATTAGCTTCTCTTTCCATTTAACATGCACAGAGTTGTAGTCTAGAATCTGCAACAGAAAAACTGAAGCAATGGCAACCATTTTTGTGACTCAGCTTAGCTTGGACAACCTTTGAGAATGCCAGCTTTAACTATTTCCCACCTAATCCATTAGCAGAGGGATGGAGAGGGGTAGAAGACCACTGGGAAGAGTTCTTGAAGAGTGTACAAATTCCAAGTGTTATGGAATGTTGGATTATAGTGAAGAACCATAAAATTTGCTTATGACAGTTTTGGTATTTTGTAGGATGAGTTTCTCCACAAAGACATCCATAGCATTCCCTGAGCAGATGCAGCACTGCCGATCAACACACAGTGAGGGTGAAGGTTCAATGTCAGCCTTTTTACAAGCCTTCTACCAGCAAGGTTTGGATAACATTGACCAATAAAACTAGAATAAAATCCCACAACACTGATAGGTTTTGTCCACAGCCTGCACTTAATGCTCCCTATTATTATGGTTACCTGAAGTTCACATAGATAACCTTGTCTTTATGAGGAGCATGCTACACCTTAAAATGGCAGGATAATACAGTATTTTTTAATTCCAGTCTTACAAGTTAGTGATGTTAGAGTCTCATGTCTTTCTAAAGAGGATAAGAAGCAGATTCTAAATGGGAGATGAATGTTCATACATTTGAAAAATTCACATCAATATTGTTACCTTAATTTTCTTTGTAGCGAGACCAAGAATAATACTACTTAGAAGTTTAATCCGCTCAGCATTTTGTCCAAGTTTGAAGCAATCAATTGTTTCTTTAATTTTCAGGCAATTTAAATCACAGGCAAGATAATCTCTTGGACAGAGGCACTGGCTATATATCCAAAATAAGTGTGGGCATACAAGTTTGGGGAAAAGCATGCAACCAAGCTTTGCTCCTTCCTATATCACATTGAGCCTGTTTTGACCTAGGAGAACTCCTCCAAAGTCAATCAAAGAACACTTTTTTTGCACAGGGATGCAGTTCTGTGTCTCCAGCTGAGACCAGACATTTTGCCCTACCACTGGGTAATCTGGTTTGAAGTACAACACCATGTTCTGGGCACAGACAGCCCACATGCTACAAAGGCACGTGAGCAACATGAGGTTCATGCTCTTGGTGACACAGCCCAGTCAGGTGGGTTCTCCTTCTGAAATCACTGGGGATGTGAACTTAATCACCACAAGACCTCTCTTGCCTGAACCAAGGGAATATGACAGAAGCAGGTGAAGAAATGATTCCTGCTTGTTGCACCTCAAATTGTCCATTCCATGAGGAACTGACTCTTTTTAAAATTATTTTTGAGTATGAACGAGAACAAATACTGGTGTCTTTCCTTTCCCCTGCTTCCCCTCTACCCCATTTTGACTTTAGAGACCATGTTTCAATGTGGAACTGAAAATAGATTTTAAAATGAGAACCATTCTAAAAATAAGAAACCATTTGTCATTAAAAATGCTCAAGTTTTAATCTTATCTTCACAACTTTTTTTGGTGACAATTCTTTACAAAAAGTTAACACATTCTGGGGGAAATTTTGCTTTCAATGAAATAGCACTTAATAAAAATAAAGTTTCCCATATAAATTTTTGTACCCAGTTCACCTGAAATTTTTCTTGGATCAATGTTAGGTAAAGAGTATAAACAACTGTAAGTACTCACCCTCAAATCTGGATTAAGAGCATCACAAAGACTGAATAGACACATAGGAAACCAAACAAAATAGCCCTAGAGTAAACAGACATCATAAAGCAGGGTGGTTTTTAATACAGGATAATAAAAAGCAAATTTCCTTAATGTTTTTCAAGGAGGCCAAGATCCCTATTTATCAGGTTCCCTAACAAGCAGCTCAACAAATTGGCAACTACCTCTTATTATTTGTGACTTGGCTATAGAGAAAGTTATGTTACATCTTTCTCTGCACAGACTTTCCTCACACACACCCTCATTCCCAATTCCTCAAATTTAAACTTAACTGCAGATATAGTTTCCAGAAAAAGAATCCCAAGATGCATTATCAAATAGTCTCCCCTAAGGAAGAATCTAGCTCAGCTTTTGCAGACACAAAAATGTAGATAATTTTTTGCAATGCATTTGAAACTTGGAGGTATGTAAACTGGGCAGAAACTCTAAACTATTACCCCATTAATCTAAATCTTTTGCAGTTCTTCCATCACTAACTATTACCACCATAAACACTGAGTGAAAAAGCAAATCTCTGCAGAATTTTATTTTCATTCCTTCACTACTTTGCAAGTTTTCCTTCTGTCCATGTGCACAGCTATTTTGAATACAGCAAAGACACTCAACCCTTTCCTTTCCTTCCTAGAGTCTGAGTTGGTTTTCAGGATCATAAATTGGTTTCTCTAAGATATAGATATTTCCATGTTTTGCAATCCATCTCACACCTCTCTTAATATTGCCATAATATCTTATCTGAGGTCAAAAAAATATACACATTGTGCCTTGGCAAAAGCTCAGAGAACCTTTCAGCTGGTATGACTCAGTGGAG